TTATATATATATATATATATATATATATATATATATATATATATATATATATATATATATATATATATATATATATATATATATATATATATATATATATATATATATATATATATATATATATATATATATATATATATATATATATATACACATTTATATTGATACATGTTTAATAACAATATAAATTGTATATCGTTAAAGAAATACATACTCACTAAGCAAATAAAACCACATGCAAACAAACAAACAAACAAACAAATGAAATGAGATGAAATACACATATTTTTTGTACTGGCGTTCGAATTTGTACACACGCTCTCAAATTTGTTTCATACACCACACATGCACACACAAACACGAATACACACGCACACATACATAGATACATAATGTGTTGTAATACGATAGATTAAGATACAATATTCTGTTGTTAAGAAACAATATTACTGTTACAATATTCTGTTGCGAATATAAAAAGGTAACGCAATGTTGAATGCAAATAAAAAATTATAAAACCTACAATGTTATATTTATATGAAAATATGTGTGTGCTTATGCGTGTGTCTGTATGTGTGTACGTGTATGTATGTGTGTGTGTATATGTGTGTGTGTGTAGTATGTTTGTGTGAGTGTGTTTGTGTGTGTGTGTGTGGTATGTGTATGTGTGTATTTGCATCTGCGTATGCTTTCAGACAAATGATTGATCGATTGAGAAAATGAATGGAGATATGAATGAATGAATGTTGAAATGAAGGAGAGATGATGACGATTGGACTAAAATGAGTGATGATGATGATGACGATGATGACTGAAGTTGAATGAGAGGAGCAAGTATAAAAATGTAATGAATGAATAAATGAATGATTAAATGAATGAATAAATGAATGAATGAACAAATAAATGAATGGACGAATGAATGAATGATTAAATAAATAAAAATCAATAAAAACACATAAAGTTGCATGAATATAAAAAAGAATGGACAAAAATAATCAAATAATAATGGAGAAATGAGTGTAGGAGAACGAAATAAAATATGGGAGAGAAAGAAAGAAAGAAAGAAAGAGAAAGAGAGAGAAAAAAAGAGAGAGAGAGAGAGAGAAAGTAGAGCATTCAGATAAGTGTTACAATGTGTAATGCATGTGTGTGGTGTGTGTTAGTAGGATGGCTTGGTGGCGTGTAATTACTCACAATATGCTCTATGTTAAGTTATTTCACCAGGATGCAATCAGTGAGATAGCGCACAGGAACAACTTATGCGAAAATTCATCACCACTGCTATTGTATTAGTATGTTGTTATTTGTTTTCGTTTAATTTTTATTTTTGATGTTGTTAACTTTGCTGATTTCAGAGTTTAGGGCGTGAACTGATTGAAATTCAGTGAATAAACATAATATCGAAATACATGCACGTGCGTACATCACGCAGATTAATACGCACGTGACTATACACGAGTGGCTCCGCTGTAACTGGAGACAACATGGATGTAACGGATGTAAACAAATGTATTTTAAAACAATGTTACATACTAACGTACGTATTTACATATATATATATATATATATATATATATATATATATATATATATATATATATATATATATATACATACACATATATGTCTATATTGGTAAAGTTTGTTAGTAGTTCTTCTTGTAAACATATTTGAAAATTTCAATAATATATATATATATATATATATATATTTATATATATATATATATACTATATATATATATATACTTATACATATATAGACGTCAGTATGATGATCACACAGATATTTTATAATACGTATTTCAGATCATATGTCAGCATGTTAAGTGTTTTTTTTTAAATGTAACAGTTCACACAAGGGAAAAATAAATGAAAAATAAATGAATCATATCACGTAAAATGAAAGATTGATGCTAGCTAATTCTTGTTAGCAGCCAGGAGCGGGACAGTTTTGTCGTAAGCAGTGGCTCCCGGGGATGCGGGACTCGTCGGGATCCGTTTGTTGCTGCCGACCGATGTCTGCTGGTTGTAGCCACCGCCACCTGCCGTCGACGACGACGAGAGGTGGGAGGCGCGGAAGTTTGAGAACGACCTGCCCACTCGACCGCGACAGAATATTTTCACAAGCAGTAATTTTAATTGCCTGCGGAATTGATTTCCGGTTATGAGATAAATGTAGAAGTTGAGGGCGTAGTGGGTTTTTCCTATTTCGTCGATCACATCTCTAATGTTCTCGAAGCGGAAAAATGCTTTCCACTTTTCATCGTTGTCCTGCTGCTCTCTCGTCATGTTCGAGTCTCCTTCGGGGAAAGCAGGCGAGAGGACGTAGAAAATTGTTACCGGAAGTACGGTGATGATGAGATAGGTGGAAACAGCAAGCAAGGTGAAGGTCGTTGCCGAAGGGCGGTTGCTGTTAGATGCCGATGCACTGTTCACGCTCATCTGATGATTGCCATTGATCACGCTGTCGTTTTGTTTTGATGGAAATCTTTTGACGTTGTTGTTGTTGTTGTTGGTGCTTTTGCTGTTGTTGTTGTTGTCGTCGCTGACATTTTTGTTTTGAGGTTTCAGTTGTCTGTGGTTGACGTTCGACGTCGTATGGTGGTACTTGAGCGTTAAGGCTTCTTCAGCTTTTGATAATCTCTTAGTTTCGCAGATGACGATCACATTGAGAACAAATATGGTGAGAGGAACGACACCGAATATGGCCAACTCTGTAATCCATGAATGGATGGACCAGGGCGATGTCAGCCCTTTAACTGCTTCTTCTCTTATCCCGCACTCCTGCTGCTCATTGTCGTATAGGTAGAAATAAGCTTGCACGACATTAACAGAGATGTCAAACGCCACCAAGATCCCTACGGATATCAAACTTCTTCGCGTCGTACAAAATTTTTCTTTTAAAAATGGGTGGCAGATGGCGATGTACCTCTGGATAGTGAAGCCGAGAACGAGGAGGGGGCTGAGTTGTTGGGTGGTGAGGAAGATGACGGGGAAGATCTCACAGAGGACTGGGTAGTTGAGGACGCCCGTGAACCAGTTGTTCTGTAGCTCCATGATCATCTGCCGGGTTCAGTTGAGAATTACACTATTTATTTATTTGGTCAAATTAAGTTAATTTTATTTAACTGAATTATTTTTTACAAATAGCTTTCAACAAATAATAATTCAAAAAAAAGACAAAATCATATTCACATATAATCAAATATTTACATCGAATTTTGCATTTATTTTAATGCAATTTATTCCGAAAAATGGTTTTACAAAGAAATCCACTGTTAAAGATAAAAGACATTCAGTATAAGAGCGCCAATTAAATTTTTTACATTGAAGATATCTTTCTGGCAAATTTAAATGCATTTCAATCCTTATGAATGAAATAAAAACAAATTCCAATTTTCCAACCACGATCGATTAAACTGAAAAAATTGTGGTTTTCTTTTAAAAATAAAATGCTTCGACTCACTCAGATATTTGTCGTAAATATACTTAAGCACTATCTGCACTTCAGACTTCTCTGCTGTAAAAAAAGATTGGAAATTTTTATTGGGAAGCAATTCAGATGAACGAACACGTGCATCTGTAAATGTTGCCGTCTATCAGTAAGCATGTGCATTGCTCATTGGTGCATATGGTGGTTGGTTACACAAATGATCGTGTTGTGTAAGTGTGGATGTGTGTAGGTCTTGTACCAATTGTTTGTTCGTTCGTTCGTTCGTTCGTTCGTTTGTTGTTGTTCGTTCGTTTGTTTGTTTTAATCTAGCAACACTTGACTGAATGAATCATTAAATAGAAAGATATATTTGCGATTTCTTTTATCCGAATTTAAAATTTTTCTAAAACCTTCTTACATCTTTATAGCAAAAATACTTCTAATTTACTAATAGCTACTTATCTCAAATATTTCTAGAATATCAAAATAACAAATACTGAATTGCCTGCTACAGCTGGTCGCTAGTTATTTATCATCTTTATATTTTTAATATTACATCACCCAAACCTTCAACAAATCAAGAAATGCTCGCTAAAAGTTCAGATAGATTTTTACATTTTTCAAGACAAACCGACTTGATGGATGAACTGACAGTTTGTGACTTCTAATTATGCACAAGTTTCAACTAAGCATCACCGTTGAATAATTGCAACAATATCACACAGACACCACATCCACACACACACACACACACACTCACAGGCACACACACACACGAACACACACACACGAACACACACGCACACAAACACACACAAAGTTATGGAAGACCAAACAACGTCACGTTCATGTCAGTGTCAGTCAGTAATTTCTTCCAATCATCTACCGCGCTTACTGTGTCGTTCTATTGGTAACAACGCAATGCCCATTCCAATGTAAATATGATCCGTATTTGTAACGATTTCTCCCTCTCTCCCTCTCTCTCCCTCTCTCTTTCTCTTTCTCTCTTTACCCCTTTCTTTTTTCACTTTCTTTCTTTCTTTCTACATGCGTGTATGTGACTAAATACATGTTTGCAATGGATTGGATGCAGATTATATTATAGAATTATGGACAATCTAAATTGAAGAATACTGTCAAAATTAAACTATCGGTGTACATACATACATACATTGTTGGTAGAAGCGAGTAACTGAAAGATGATGATTAATAATATTAATAATAATAAAATAATAATAAAATAATAATAAAATAATAATAATAAAATAATAATAGTAATAATGTAATAATAATAGTTTACAGTGTTAGTGTTACGAGCTAGCTAGAGGCGCAACACTCCTTACAAAAAATTCTCTCATTCATTTTGTATGCTTAGTTGTTTTTTTTGGAGGAAGATTATTTCAAGTGTGGCGCTAGGTATATTTTGCGCGTGAGATAACGACAATGAGTGAATGAGGGGATGGATGGATGAGTTGATGAATAAATGAATGAATGAATGAATGAATGAATGAATGAATGAATGAATGGATGGATGGTTGGTTGAATGAATGAATTAATGAATGAATGAACGAATGGATGAATTATAGACGGTTGAATGGATGAATGAATGAATGAATGAATGAACGAACGAATGAATGAATGAATGAATGAATGAATGAGTGAATGAATGAATGAATGAATGAATGAATAGATGAGTGATTGAATGGATAAGTGGATAATTTTATTTTTGTTTTATGTCACCGTTCGCACTCGGGTACTTGAGTATCATTCCTTTTTTAAGATATCTTTAGATAATAAACGATGATATATTCAATGCAATCAATGAAACTAGTGTAAACATGACGACGACGACAACGACGATGATGATTGTGACTGTGGTGGTGATGATGATCTTGTAGAAAGGTACAAAAATTGATTTCAATTTTTAAAAACTGATTTCACTAAATTATTGTTGTAGAAACGTCAATGACCATAAAACAAAAAAGCTTATTTTTACATTTTTTTTCATATTTTTTAAACTATTCAGCGAAAAAACTAGCAAAACTATGCAATTTGCTGGAATCTGTTGAAGAGTTGTATTATTTTTAAAAAAGTTCAGCTTAGTTCGATGTCAACGAATCACCTAGAGGCAGAATTAAAACCGACCCATTTTTTCTCAGAATTAACTTACATCTTGGCGTATTAATACATACAATTCAAACGTGCTAATGTAATATGTTTAAAAGGTTTTCCTTCACACAAAACTCAAAAGAATTTGTTAGGTCATGATTATTTAAGTTGAATATTAAAAAAGGGAAAATACAATACCAAACAAAACCACAGAATACCTCAAAAAACAATTTAACGGTATCTGCAACAGCAGACATATATTAAATAAACAAACAAACAGACACAAACAGACAGAAAGACACACCACANCCATACAACCACACACTCGCATGTCCAATTCATCATTCTATCATTAAGATACGTGAGAGCACTTAATTGATAAGAAGGAGCAAAAAAGTGGATGGATTAATATCTTGTTTGCTGACTCCGTGTTTTATATACACTATTGTCTGTTGTCTGTGTGCATGTATAAGTGTGTGTGTGTGTGTGTGTGTGTGTGCATGTATGTGTGCATGTTTGTGTGTTTGTGTGTGTATACATACATTATAATATTCATGTTAAAAGATTGAATGAGAGATGGACAGATGATGATGATTTAAGAACCTCTATTCTAGGCCATTCAACTGCTGACACTCTAATAGTAATTTTTCTAGAAAATTTTCATGTTAGCTTTCTCATCATCCTCATTGTCATCATCGTCGTCATTATCATAATCATCAACATTATCATCATTACATCGTTATCATTTTAATATCATTGTTTTCATCATCATAATTATCATTTCTTCGTCAACTTTTTTGAGGTTAACCACTATCACCATCATCATCTTGATCATGATATTAATTGTATTCATCATCATCATCATTGTCACATCATTTTCATAACCCATCGTCATCGATGAGTTCATCAGCACCAACTCAGAAATAATCATTCTAGTCATCACAATAGCAACACATGTGACTAACAAGTTGTCGCAAAGAGAGCTGCTGGCTCGCTGCAGACGAACAAAAGTTGTCTCAATATTTCAATTAAAAAACATTTGTAAACATGCAACAAATTTGTAAACATATCTGTGCAAACATGCAAACACACAAACAAGCACACACGTGGACAGCAGCAGCAGCAGTAGTAGCAGTAGCAGCGGGAGTAGCAGTAGTAACAGTAGGTTGCGTTACAAGTAAACACTGACTCAAATAATGTCGATTCACCTGCTGCTACACAAAGCCATCATATATCAAAACTTTATGCTCCAGGCGTTCTACTCATCTATGTGTTGGTTTAAGATAGTTTTGCAATATTTAATTTTACACACACACACACATACACATACATTTACATACACATGCTTACACATACACACACACACACATATACCTATATACGCATTAATGTAATTATATGTAAACGTAAAATGAGAAAGGGTGACAAGAGAATTATTTAACATACGGATTCGTTATGACGTAATACAAATATTGGAGATTTTGACAAATTTAAAACGATTTCGAAACGAGAACTTTTAACAAGCAATTGAATTAATAGAGAAAATCATGAAACAAAAATGTCAATAAAGTTATGCGTTGTTAAACTTTTTTGAAGTTAAAGTTAAGCTGGCAGGCTAACATGTAGCTAGACTAGCAATGTTGTACGTAATGAACAAATTCTTACACATAATAATATCTTGAAAAATAACAATCTTTTCTTTAAATCCAAGTTTATTTGAACAAATAATATTTTTTATTTTATTATATTATATCATTAAAAGACGAGACAAAGGCGTGTCTCGAAATTTTTGTCTCGAGGCAGTGGCGAGAACAATGTATTTGTCGTATTGTTTCATGTCTCTTAAGATACCATTCATACAATTTATATATCATATTCAAATACCATTCATATAATTCATATATCATATTCCGATACCATTCATACAATTCATATATCATATTCCGATACCATTCATACAATTCATATATCATATTCCGATACCATTCATATAATTCATATATCATATTCCGATACCATTCATACAATTCATATATCATATTCCGATATCATTCATACTCGTATATGTAAACGCATATAGAAAGTGATATAAATATGTACAATTTGCTTAGAAGATATTTGCATGTAAAATTAATACAAATACGTTTTAACAGTAGCTTATGTTATTTTGTGTTATTGATAAATTTGCCACCAACCCATTTCTTAATAGCATGCTAAAAATAAAAGTTTCATTGTCTCAATCATAGCTACAGAACATAGCATCATTGAAAATTTCAACATCGTTGTTAACGAAGTAAATGTTATTGATCTCATTTTCATCATTGTCAACCTCCTCCTTCTTCTTCCTGACATCATCATCATCATCTTCTTTCTGTCATCATCATCATCATCATCTTCTTCCTGACATCATCATCATCATCTTCTTCCTGACATCATCATCATCATCTTCTTCCTGACATCATCATCATCATCTTCTTTCTGTCATCATCATCATCATCATCTTCTTCCTGACATCATCATCATCATCTTCTTCCTGACATCATCATCATCATCTTCTTCCTGACATCTTCTTTCTGTCATCATCATCATCATCATCTTCTTCCTGACATCATCATCATCATCTTCTTCCTGACATCATCATCATCATCTTCTTTCTGTCATCATCATCATCATCATCTTCTTCCTGACATCATCATCATCATCTTCTTCCTGACATCATCATCATCATCTTCTTTCTGTCATCATCATCATCATCGTCATCGTTGTCATCATCATCATCATCGTCGTCGTCATCGTCATCATCATCATCATCGTCGTCGTCATCGTCATCATCATCATCATCATCATTGTCATCGTCATCATCATCCGCAGCAGCAGCAGAGGCAGCAGCATCAATCATCATCAGCATTAGCAGGATGGTTACAGCAGCCATGTTTGCATTATTACATCCTTATACATCCGTCATCATCAACGTCTTCAACATCGTCGTCATCTTCTTCCTTCCTACTCCTCCTCCTCCTCCTCATCCCCCTCATCATCATCATCATTAACTTCACTCCCAAAATCATCATTATATACAACAACACACACATACACACCTTTACACAAATACACATACATACGAAAACACACACAGATACGCACAAATACACATACAAACAAACACAGACACGCTATCAAATGATTCAGCCCTAACGGCAAATAAATAGCATTTCGGCATTTTTATCTCGCCCTTGCTACCGCCATCAAAACTGCTACAACAACTTTTATCATCATCATTCTTCCGATAACCATCATCGTCATCATCATCATATCATAACCACCAAGGTCACCATCTACATCATCATCATCGTCGTCATCATTCATCATTATTATTTTCATTGTCATCACTTAGTGAGAATGGATGTGATATAATGATAATATTCAAACATTGCCAGTATTGTAATTATCATCATCGTGCCACTTTACATGCATACATTTGCACACACCGAGTTCTTAAATAAGCATTGTCATGATCATCATTGTCGTCGTCATCATCTTCATCATCATCTTCCTCTTCCTCCTCACCATCATCCGCACCTACGCAGAGCAGTTCAATAAGAAGTCTGTGTAAGAGACGAAACGAAACGAGACGAAACGAGACGAAGCCCTCATTGCCCGAGGATTTTGTTATGGCGCTAAATACGTTTGTCAGCTTATAGGGACACGTCTGCGCGGACTACCAAGTAGCGTACGTGCTCCTGCCCGAGATCACGTGTTTTTATTTATGGTCAAGTGTTTGTGGTCACGTGTCTTGGTCATGTGGTTTTTTATGATCACGTGCAAAGTCACACGCGCGTCTGTTTATTCACGCATGCGTACAACGCATTGAATGAAATACAACCAGACGACGCATTTAAATGCAATAACTCGTTGCATGCATGATTTGCGTTCATGTATTAACTGTGATGTAAGCATGCTTGCGGTGAGTTTGTTGTGTGTGATGTATGTATGTATGCATGTATTCGCGTAGGAACGCCTGCTTACAAACGCATTCATCTATGCGTGTGTTTATTGGCGTTTGCTTGTTTGTGTAAGTGGTCTCTTCAATCAATTATTAGATTTGTGAATCATTTAATGCACAGGAACCTCGATATAAAACACATCTTTCGTATATATTTGTTATGTATATATATTTGTATGTTTATATATTTGTATGTTTATATAGTTGTATTTTTATATAGTTGTATGTTTATATAGTTGTTGTATATTCGAATTGTATATTACGATTGCGTCTCTTGTTTGTTCAGTTCTCGCGTTTAGTTTCCTCTCTTCATGTTGTTTAATGGTTAATGCGTACGTGAATAATTTCATTTTTACATACAAGGCAGGTCACATTTATTTCATATTTCAATATTCACTCATTAAATTTTAAACAGAATTACCGGCTTTCAACGAATAGATGCAATTTTGTCTAAATTTTGTTAATTCATTTTTATGCGCACATCCTTGTTTATTTTTGTTTTTTATTGCCACAATAAACTCGCTTGTTGCGCTATAAAAATTATTTGTTCACCTCCTTTCAAACACTCCTTTCATGCTGGCATCTTTTTTATGACTTCAAACTTTGTTCACTGGGATGTGTTCAATTATAAAAACTAGCTATGCGTCTATTCAAGTTACTTTTTTGATCTAAATTAATTTATCTCTACTTTATTTTTCCAATTTAATAATTTATCGCGCGTTAATATCAATAAAATGCAATTATATTATCCCAAAAAGTTCTACCTTGCAAATTTAATTGAAGAAGCCCAAGCAACACAAAAATTATTAACTTGTTGTTGTCAAGCCCCATGGCACTGTGTTGTGAATCAGATGGTTTTAATTACAAGAATTCTTCAAAGATTCAAAACTTCCAAGCTAAAGTTCATAGTACACACATATATATACATCATTATAATAACAAAAATGTTTGAGTTTTTTTAAAGTTTTGCCACGAAGTGATATTGAACCAGGGAGCTAGCGAGTAAGTGTGGATTATGAATGATTTATGACCGCTCTTAAATGGTTGGAGGCGGATTAAAAAAAAGAACTAGTGGCCAAACTTTAAAATTAAATTATTAAAATATTTTATATTTACATTTTAGATATTTTTATTTAATTTATTTTTATTAATCATGCACAGAAATGTATAAAACTGGCAATTATGAAAATACCACTGCTATCCGCTATTCTGCTATTATTACATCTATTACTACTACTTCTACAACAACAACAACAACAACAACTACTACTACTACTACTACTACCGCTATTACTACTACTGCTACTGCTATTACTACTACTACTGCT